TAGGAACAATAAAAGGCTGCCAAAATGTCCTCTGCTTGATACATGTTATTGAGCACCAAAAGGAAAATATTCATTGCACTAAGTGCTTTTAAGTACTGGGCAGATAGCCTATGACTTACCTTGGAATTCTATCCTAGTAAACCCACTGAAAGTTGAAAATATCATAAATTTAAAATGCCATGCACTTAACCTACTGCACATTGTAGCTGAACCTAATTAACCTTAAACATACTCAGAATCTAGTTGAGCCATGTCATCTAGCAGAAAGCCCATGTTATCATGGAGGGTTGAATATCCCACGTGGTTTAAAGAATACAAAGAACATAGTGTACTGGTTATCTGCACCTGTGACAGTGGAAGGCATTTCTCTCTCTGCTGCTGGCCATCAGGAAAGAATGTCTTGTGACGTATCAGTAGCCCATGGAAACATCCAAATATGAATATGAAATATGAATGCTTTCATGCCATTGTAAAACTTGAAAGTTTTGAGTTGAGCCAGTACTAAAGCAGTAGCTGACAGCTGATTAACCTGATTAACAAGTTGCAGGCAGAGAGAGAACAAGACCAGGCCAGGAAGGAGTGGGCTTTTGAAATCTAAAAACCAACTCCTGATGAAACCCCCTCCGATATATCCACATCTCCCAATCCTTCCTATACAGTCTACCAGCTGGGGACCAAGCATTCAAACATATGAGTCTATGGGGCCCATTCTCACTTAAACCACCACGCTGGGGAAGAATCACAAGGAAAAATTCTCCCAAACCTTCCTCTAGGACTTACAAAATCAGAATTATTACTGGTGTATAATTTCTAAAGCTTTCTATGATTATACAATTCACTGTGGTTTAAAATGATTTGCCAATTGCAATTGAAAATGTAGCAAATTAAAACTTATAAAAGGGTCAAGCTAAAGATATGTGGAAAGCCCAGGAAGTTATGGACTTGTGGGAAAGGGGCACACAGAATCTCACTAATGCATCTAGATTAATATTCTCATCATGTTCAAATTTGCACTGCAAGTCATAGCCATCGATTCTAAAAAAAAGATTTTTTTAAAATATAAGTGCTTCTGATGCCTCTTAGCCATGAATGATGGTGTGGGTGGCAAGGCTACCTACTTGAAACTCACTGAGGACAAGGATCCAGCACCTCTCACAATCTTAGTACATAGCAGCCTCTGCTGTGTGAACAGTGTCCACTCCTCCAAGAACAATTTGTCAGTCATAAAGGCATGTCTGTGCTGCCCTTAAAATCTGTGTGTGGAGAGAAATGCTGTGTCCTCCTCAGCAATGAAAATGAGAGGCTAAATGAGGCATTTATCTGTATTCCTTTTATTTTCATGTTAAGGACAAGAAGGTTTTTAGGGCAGGGCACCATATTTCATTTGCTACATATATTCTCAGTTCTTAGAACACTGTTTGGAGTGCAAAAGGTACATAGGAAATGTATGATAACTAAATAAATGATTTGCAATGCAAAACTGCTTTCCAGCTCCTAAATCTGGAATTGATCTAGCAGGGGCATGTAATTCCCTTGTTCCAGGTATGCACACATACTCCCAGGAAAGTAGAGAAGAGGTATACAGTGAAAACAAAAGACAAGCGTGTGTCATGAAGAAAATGCTTCAACAGAAGTACATGTGCAACGTCACTCTCTGGTCAGACAATGGTGCTCACCAGACTGGGCAGATGAGGACATGTCTGCCCAGAGCTAGACTCAATACATCAGTAGTTGTCATTTTCAACTGGTGCTCTTCGTCATGAAGGACAGTTTCTCTTCCAGGCCTTTTTTTCTTTTTTTCCACTTTCAAGGTCACTGTCACTACTGAGATCTGCCAGTCAGTCTAGATCCTGGCATACTTGGCTTCTCAAAGTTAATTAGGTCCCCTAGCCCCACCTCCCCCAGAGTGTGAGCCCTGGCTGTACTCCGGATTCTTATCCCTAAGCCCTGGTGATGTTCTCTGCGGACAGCTACTTTTCCTGTCTCTCTGAGCCTGAGTCACACTCTCTGACCTTACGTCCCATGAACTGGCACAGAATTCCTGATGCCTGCCCTGCTGCAACTGAACTATTTGTGCCATTGCCTTAGAGAACATTCCAGAAGGAATACTGTGGAATAATCTGTGGCCTAAGTCCAGAATCAGAAATTGATTTGTACATATCAAAAATAAAACAACAAATAAATGAATGGATCTCACGTAAAAACACAGTGGTTACATAAAATTGCACGTCTGTCTTCTGACAGTTCCTTTAAAATGCTTTAAAATGCCCTTCCTGAGCTCAAATGATGTCTGTTCCAGAAACTCAGTCAGCTGACCATAAACCTTAGCTATGACAACTGTTCACATAGGCCTCTGCCCTGCCCTCATTACAGTCTGGATTCCATTGAGCCTTCTCACCTAGGTAAGAGAGCTGGGGGAAGTTACTGTTTACACAGAGAACAAAGGAACAGGGGGTGTGTACATTTGAAAGACCTTCTCTAAATCCAGTCTAGGATGGGTGCTGATCTGCAGCTTGGCCTAGAGAGGTGGATAGCAGCTAAGTATTGAGTTCACCCCATTAGCTATCATATGCACTGTTTCACCGTTTAATAGACTGGCTTGGTGGCATGTAGAAAGAAGTGAGCATGTGGCCCCAGGGCTGAGACTTTGTGGCTTTCGGTGTTTTTTTTTTTTTTTTTTTTTTTTTTTTTTTTTTTTTTCTCATACCCTCTTCATGACAACCTTCCTGCAACACACATACACTTAAAATGATGTGCAGCTATCTCTGTCTACAATGTACAGCTATTGCAAGATAAAGCCATCTGCAGATAGGTACAACAGACATATAAGCCATCCAGTCACAAAATACCAGATATATAGGTGTGCACTAAAGCTGTAGATGTGTTTGAAGTGACAGGCTGAGTGCTTTTGTAAAACTAGAATAGAATATGTAAGCAAAGATGCAACTGTCTTCCTTGGCTAGAAACGATGTTTCCAGGGTATACACACCAACTTTGTTTTAAACAACTATGCAACTGTGAGACACTTTTGTTGTAACCCAATTTTTAAGTGAAGGGAGTATGGATATAAAAGAAAAGGGAAAGCGCTGACTAGTCTAAACCTTCTGAATAAATCCTCTACGTGAAGCCAATCAACAAGGGCTTGAAATCACCCCCACTGAGGCCCACAAAAGACAGTGGGGGGTCAACTGCTCAGACAGAGCTTTCATGGAGACACCTGAAGGCAGGTCTGCGAAACCTCCACTCTATCTCCAGGTGAAATCCTCTGAGTCCATCGCTGTCTTTTGCATCCCAGGGGGATAGAAAAAGTGGGCAATTAGACTTGGGAATGACCTTAGGGTCTGGAGCCCTCCATTCTAGAGGAGCAGGTGACTTGACTTGGGATGGGAACATGGACTTGGGCAAGTGCTGGCTCTGAGCCAGGCTTCTTCTCTCCTGCACCCGGCGCCACGCTAGGGCACAGTCCGCAGCTCCCGCCCAGCACCACTTTGCTCTGACGTCCGTCTCCAGAGCTCTGACGATCGCCCCCGCCCGCCACGCTTATATAGAGACTTTTCCCAATACTCCGATCGATCGCCTTGCCCCTCACAGCCCTCGCCGGGCTCCCTATCAACCCCCTCCACTCACCCTGAGCCTCCCTCCCTCGCTGTCCCGCACAGCCGCGGGATCAGGGGGCGCCCGGACCCCCAGAGCAGCTCCGGGTGACGCCCAGGTAAGAGCCCAGAACAAGAGCTGTGGCCGCGCCCTCGGGGGCCTGAGAGGAGAGACGGACTCTGCCTGGTGGGGATGCACCCCTCTGCTCAGCTGAAAGGCACTTGTGGCTCTCGGGCTGCTAGCGGCTGCAGACTCTCCGGGTTCGGGAGACCCGGGGGGCGGGGGGCCAGGGCAGCTGAGCGCCAGGGAGTTTGGGTGGAGGGAGAATTTGGTGGCTCTGCGCTCACAAAGGCGGAGCCCTCGGGTCCCAGCTCCCTTGTATCCGGGAGGTGAGGGCTTGCTTGCATCCAGTGCCTCACCACCCACTTGCAAAGCGCAGACTCCCACAGAAACTTGAGCGTGTGAACTGGGTGCAGGAAAAAGCCCAGGTAGTGCGCGTAATGAAAGAACAAGAATTCCATAAGATGAATCTTTAATTTAGAACTTGACACCAGTCCCTCTTCGTTTCGCTCTTCGCTCTTTGTATCTGTGACTGTGGTTTAGACATTACCTTATTTTAAAATCCTTTTCTCATAGAGACCAGGAAGGGGCGGCCGGGGTAGGGGTTTGGGGTGGGGCATGATATGAACTAAGGACAAAGGAAGATTGACAGGGCCGAGGGTCATTCATTTAAACAACGAACACATACGTAGTAAATTAAACCACAGCTGATGCATTTTAAATAAATTTTCCTAGTACCACCCTGCCCCACTCCCAGCATATTGGGTTACTTTTGGACCTGTTTCCTGAAGTCGCCTGAAAGGATAAGAAGCGGATGAATAATGAACACACACACACACACACACACACACACACACACACACACACACACACACATGTTTTTAGAGTATTCCTTTAGGATACATTTAAATTAATAAACACTTATGAAATATCGACTTAGTTTCAAAAGGCAAATAATCATCGCAAATGATCTCTTGACAAAAGGAGTTATAATACAAATCAGACTTAATTTTAACTTGAAAGAACTTATAAAATACAAAAATTATTATAATTGTATTTATGGTCATTCCTTTTTCCCCCCACCTGTTTCTTCAAAATTCAAAGCATTAACTTATTCAGTAGAAGCAGATCAGTGTAGTGGACACTTGTTGGCCATGACTAGTTTCACGGGAATTTCAATGCAGGCATTTTTTTTTTTTAAGGGATGTCTGGAGCCAGCTGCTTATTCTTGGCAGCCTGTGCAGGCATAGTGCTTGGCTGCTTAATAATGCATTGCTGTATTTTCTACAGAAGGCTTGATGAAGTAACCCACTGTGGAAGGACCTGCACATTACCTTAAATAAAAAATGGCTTTCCATGTAGAAGGACTGGTGGCCATCATCCTGTTCTACCTCCTTATATTTCTGGTTGGAATATGGGCTGCCTGGAAAACCAAAAACAGCGGCAATGCAGAAGAGCGCAGCGAAGCCATCATCGTCGGGGGTCGAGACATTGGTTTGTTGGTTGGTGGCTTTACCATGACAGGTAGGTGATCCCATGCTTGCTTCTCCTGCTGGCTTGTGCTCTGAGTGAGAAAGCAAACATTGCTCTTTGTCCTTTGGAGTTCTTTCAGCCCGCGATGACTATAGTTTGAAGTAATTTTGTATTTAATTTCAAAGAAAAAAGTTTTAATCTCAATAGTACTTGACGAGAAATGAATTTGACAATAAATCACTGGACTAAATGCTAGCGAAACAAACAGTCTCTTAACTGGTCAGTGGGTGGGAACTGTGAAAACAAAGGGGTGCAGGAATGCAGAGTCATAGTCTTTCAAGTTGTGAATCTGTGGTTTAACGCCATGGTGTCTCAATGCATCCATTAATACGAGCATGGGGTTGTGATTGAGTTCTCTTAAACGATAAATGAATACTAACTAGCTAAACTTTTTAGCCTGGGTAAATTATTTTAGAGGTACTACAATTCCAATCTAATTAATGCCTGTCAGATGCCTACCTTCTCACTTAATAACCATTTTCCTTAAAGGAAGCAGCCTACAACACTAAAAGGAAGCTTTCCTGGATCCTTGGTATAGAAAGGGAAAAGTCAGGGTGTGTCCCCAAAGAAATCCACAGGCCAGCATCTGCATTTCTCTTCCTTTATAATTTTTTTTTTTTTTTTGTGCTACGAGGGGCCTTGATCTTTCTTCCTTTGAACTCAGAGTGAATTCTTTGTTTTTTCATATTTGTCTTGGTCACTGAAAATAATTCAGAAAACAATATAAACTTATGTTTTGTAGATGATTGGTAACCCTTAGGTCTGAGCCTTGCTTAGTGAATATTTAACACCTGTGACATAATCTACTCTAGCTGGAACTCTTGACATCTCATTAGAAAAATATCTTACTAGAAATCATAACCAAAGAGAATATCCATTTCTGTGCAGAAGACTATTTAAAGACAGTTTACACTGTGTGTCATCTAGGGACATAACTGTTCTCTAAGGTGGTCTCCATGTTCTGAACGCTTTCATTTTGGATCTGAAATCTACAGTATCCTATATGGATTGTAGATTTTTATCTGTCAAGTATTCCCTTTGTGAATTGAGGCATTCACTCAACAACTATAGACGGATTCATGTGCTCTGTACAGCAGACCCTGTGAAAGGGTTTCAGAGTTAAGGGAATCTCTGGAGTTGATTAGTTAGCAAAGATCAGGGCCAAGCTGACTACACTCAAGATCTCTCCATGCTGTGCTGTGTGCAGCTCTCTCACTGGTGTACTAGGTCTACTTAGAAAAGCACTTTGTTTCCAAAACATCATAAGAATAAATGAGCTGTTGAATGTCTAAGCATTTTATTCACTGCTGATTATTATACCATTCTACTATTCTGTAATAATCTATTTCATATAGTTACACATTGTTGCAGAATTTGTTCTTTCATCATATGCAATTTTTAAAAAATATGGCACACCATTAAAGTATGTGAAAATAGTCAAATGAGGCTGTTTCTTATAAAGTGTTATCATTGTCTAGCTAACATGTTAACAGTTCTTTCTCCAAGCTCAGAAGACTATTGATCAATATGACCACTCATTTAAAATTTGAACCTTATTATTTAAGCCTCACCAGATTTCAGGCTGCTTGCATGCATTTCATAAGAAATAGAGAGGGAATAGGTAGATTCTTTAAAAATATATAGTTTAAAAGAATTCGTGGTCTTGCTCTCTATTTGACACAAATATATGCAAATGTGGGGAACAAATTATGGCTGAGAAATGACTAAACCAATAAAAAATGGCAAGACTTTAATTATGGTAAGTGACCAAGTTTCCAGTTCTATAGCACAATAAATGAAATCACTCAGGCACAGATTTGATTTTAGGAGAGGGACTGAGATGCCACACAGTGAAAAGCAATTGCTAACAAGCTTTGTGCTCCTAAGATCTTGGAGCCATCTTCATTCTGCGCCAAGGTATTGCTTTCAGCCATCTTAGCTTGAGAATGAAGTCTCACCTTGTAAACATAGATTTCTTCTGGTCCTTGTTGCATACCCCGTGTGCTGGATAGAGAAGAAAATTTTTTAAATGTCAGCAGGGTTTAGAATGAGAACATCAATGAATGGCAGCGCGTAGTTGTCTGCACACCAGGTGTGAAAGCTTGTGTGAAGATGGGCGAGGCGGCTACACATTCCCTGCTCCCTTCAGGATTTAGTACCTACATTTCACCTTACATGTGCTAAAATTTCTAATCAGGAAAGTCTTCTAAGTTAATGTTTTTTCTTTTATTTTTCAGATTTTAATACAATTATCCAATTATATCATTTCTCCCTTCCACTTTTCTCACTCTAAACATTCCCGTGCCCACTTCCTTGTTCTCTTTCAAATGCATGGCCTCTTTTTCTCTTTTTCCTTTAATTGTTGTTATACACACACACCACACACACACACACACACACACACACACACACACACACACACACACACTTAAGTAATGTTGATCCCAGCACATTCTTCTTTGCCTGTTGAATTAAAAGAGGAACAAATTCTGTCATGAAAACAGCCAATCACATCCTAGTGGTATAGACAAGCTTTCTATACATAGAAATGTATTTTTTTATGTTGCATTCTTAATGGGATGATTCAGTCTCCTGTCTGATAAGAGTATTAAGAGCCTGGGACCTTCATCACCCCACATACATTGTGCAGATGGATCACTGTGAATCTTTCTGTTATACTCTTAGAAGTGCATAAACTACAAAACCTTAGAGGTGTGTTAACTTTGTTCTTTCCAGCAGGAGCAAAGTATTATGGGTCTGAGAAGCGTTAGGGGAGGGTATTTGGGGCTAAATATGATAAAAATTCATTATATATAATTCTCAAAGAATTAATAAAATATAATAAAAAATGAATCAGATTTGTTATCATGGGGGAAAGTACTAGCTTGTCAGTCAGTTTTGGCTTGAGTTAGCTTAGGCAAAGCCTGTTTTCTTTGGGTCTTTAACTGCTTTCATTCAGTAATTGTGCTACAGAAGTTTTATATATCTGAAAAAAAAAAACCTGCATTTAACGGAATAGTTTATGGACACATGAAGCCAGTTGCCACTGTGTTGGACAGTTAGGCTCGGGGCACAGCAGGTGAAGAGTGTTATGACCCCGCTGTTTGTTCCATTTCAGCCACCTGGGTTGGAGGAGGTTACATCAATGGGACAGCTGAAGCAGTTTATGGACCAGGCTGTGGTCTAGCATGGGCTCAGGCACCCATTGGCTATTCTCTGAGTCTGATTTTAGGTAAGTGGGTGTTGAGATCCCAGTGACTCATTCAGTACTCAGCATAAAGTACAAATAATAAGTCAAATGACATGAACAACTATTGTGGAGAAAATTTCTAAGTAGCAATTACCAGAAATTGTTATGTAGCAACACTGATGCTTAGTCTCCTGATGGTGTGAAAACTTCTTTGATCTTGTGGCCACTAGAACAGTGAATTTCTTAAACAACTGTGATTTATTTCTTTCAAAAGAGAGTATGGATAGGTCATTAAAACCTAATCAACCCCATCGCCCCGTTGTTCCTTTTGGTAAGTGAAACTATTTACAAGTTTAAATATTATATAAGAGAGTACCTCATTTTTCTATACAAAATGCTTTTATTGGATTTTGTCCTTACTCAAAGTGTCTAAATGTTGGATTGCGAGACACAAATGCCTCAAAGTATTTTAATGCACACTGACCTGGTCCATGTCTTTCAATTCACATGCTTCATTCATGTTATCCAGTTGCCCATTGGACACAGCAGTGTTGGATGTACTGTCCTCAGGTTTACATTAGGTTGCTAAATATGTCTTGGTAGGACATGTAAAACAGGATTCTTAGTGCATATGGATATCTTAAAGATTCACTTTCCTAGCGCGGGGGAGCGAGGGAGATACATAGTAAAAAGGTATCTCTTGCGACTTTGTTTTCACAAGAGCTTGTTGGTTTCAGGCGGTCTGTTCTTCGCAAAACCTATGCGTTCCAAGGGATACGTGACCATGCTAGACCCATTTCAGCAGATCTACGGAAAGCGCATGGGCGGGCTGCTCTTCATCCCTGCACTGATGGGAGAGATGTTCTGGGCGGCAGCAATTTTCTCTGCATTAGGTAAGGATTGAAGAAGATGGTCCTACTGGGGCTCCAATTCCTGAATGTAGAGTTTGCCTCTTAAAACAATCTTTAAAATCCTGTCCAGATCCACATTTATTCTTATAAACTCTCAATAGGAATTCTATACTTAGGAAAGCATGGCTGTGGAGGTGAAACTAATCTCGGCTTCATTTGTCTTGAACCTGATTCCCATCATTATAGTGTGGCCATGAGTTATAAAGGTCAGGAGTTGCTTTTGTATGACACTTAGATTTAGAACACAATTAAGCACAACTTAATTAAGTTAATTAAGCACAATTAAAAAGGTACAGTTTGAAACAGAACTTTAAAAAAGAGAAATGTTCATGAGCCAAAGATTAAGAGGAATCCTTGGCCTTGAATAAATTTAATAAATTTGTTTACCTTTATTCCCCCCAGTAACTATTTTCACTTCTGTGAGCACACTTTATCTCTTCCTGTTTTCCCTTCTAATGACTGTCATGCTAAAACTGATAAAGGTAGGCAAAACTAAATCCATTAAAGATTTTTAAAAGTAGTAATACTGTTCCATAAGATATTAAAAGCAGATACAAAACAATGTTAGAGTCCCAACAGTAAATAACATTTGCAGAGAAATGGAACCTCATGGCCTGTGGACAGAACTGACAGGCATTCAAGCAGAGCCATTTAACTTGACATGTCAACAGAAATTTTTGTGGAAGTATAATACTATGGTCAATTAATGGTAAAACTGAGGATGATAGAATACAGCAAGGATTCTCTCACAAGTTTAAGAGCTTTTTGTTTAACTTATGAAGTTTTCAGTCCCCCGCTTCTCTTCCCCGCTGTCTACTCTTGGAGATGCAGAGTTAGAGGTGAAAACAACCATGGCTGGTTGCTAAAATGTGAACAGCCTAAGGCTGTTGAGGCAACTGGAGATGCAAATGCACTGGCTGGAGAAGCAGTGTGCTGCATTACTTGCATTCTGACAGTCTCACCTCAGCTCTTGGACCATTCTTAACTGCTCAGTTTCTCTCCTGGTTGTCAATCACCTTCCTCATCTCTGTCCACCTGTCCCTCTTCCCTGCCTCAGCCAGACCTTCCTGACTGGAGTCAGTGCAGAGATCTCCCTCCTTACAGTTCTGCTCTCTTTTGGTAGCCAACTCTTGAAATTCAGGCTTCATCACCCTCTTTTCTTTTAAAACCAAAATTTTCAACAGAATCTATAGACATGACAGAGCCTTTGCTTCTTCCTCATCATGCCCCTCTACAATTTCTCCTCCACAATGGTGACCCTTCCATCTTGCCTCTGACAATTTACAAATCCAGTTGCCAGGGCTTTGGATTCTCTCCTGTGTTTTCAGTGGGACTATGGAAGATCTTCAGTCTCAGTCCACTGCCTTTAGATCAAAGACAGGCCTGTCTCAACCCACTGAGTGTGGAGCTAGTGAGCAGCTGCAGAGTTGGACCCCCACAGTCCTCTTCAGTGGGCCAGGTGGCCACACCCAGGCGCTCTCCTACACAGGATTACCATCTCTTCTCCAGATGAAAGGGAAAGGCTTAAGTCTACAGCCAGGTGCTAGGTAAGGTTAGAGCAAAAGGAAATTCCTTCTGTGTTACATATGCCAGACCGCAAATTTGTCTCCTGGTTCCAGTATTATCTTATGTAGCCTCTGTACTATCTAAGATTAGTTCACACCTACTTTGTCCTACAAAGAAGTAATAGTGAGAAAAGGAAGACAGTTTGCTAGTTCATAAAATATACCAATAACTTGGTGAAAAATGTCACTCCTCTGTGCTGGACAACTTAAAGTCTAATGACATAATGTATAAAAAGAACAGTCCCCACAACCTCACTCTCATTAGCTGAGAAACAAGGGGCTTTTGTTTGCCACAGGCTTTGGCATTAGACATTTCAGCTTTAAGAACAGCCTACCTGCTGAGCTATGACAGGAAGGAGTGGGCTAAATAACAGAACACAAAATGCTCAGGCTGGCTGAATAGAGGTCCTGAACAACAGTCCTGAAAGGTGAATAGAAGTAATGAGCTGGAGTTTCTATAGCATTTTACAAATACAAAACAACAGCAAATAAACTCTGTACTTAGATATAATTAGATAGATGTTTGTCTATGTCTGTATATATCTATATCTATATCTATATTTATATCTAGATATAGATATAGATATAGATATATATTTCAGGGTGTATGAAAACATGTTAACAGTCTCTCTATATAGACACACACATGAAGTAACAAATACACACACACACACACACACACACAAACACATGCACTATAAGCAACAAATATTCATAAGGTACTGCCCTTGGTGGAAATCTACATTCTAGCAGTGTATGTGTATTATAAAGTTATTGCCTCTGTTCTTTAGGTATAATTGCTGGCTATATTTCAAAAGTGGTGTTTGTAAGAAAAAATCTTGGGACACTTAAGAACAAGTATAAACTCTATCTGTATTCATTTCCACCTCACTATGAATGGGCAGGGGGAATGAAAACATAGGAGAATCTTTTCTCTGTAAGTACAATAAACATTTATTTAAGGTAATACAACTATCAAAGAGATCATTCTCACTGTACATACCAGGTGTAAGTAGCTCCACAGAACCCCTTGAGGAAGGTTGCATTCACGGGTTTCACCGACATCATCCCTTCTTTGTCTGGTCTTCTCTCACTTTTCTTTCCTAAATAACCTCTTCCAGACATGACCCAAGCATTTATCCTTCTCATGTTTTATTTACTATATTAAGCAAGACTAGTGGCCTCATGGTACAGTGCAGCAGTCATTGGAAGGGTAACACAGACATTGTGAAAGTTCTCTGGATCACGTGTCTTCTGCTACATCTTCTTCCTTGCTTATTGCGTCCTCTCATTTGATGTTAAATTGCTGAATCATACTCCACTGGGATACCAGCCAATACAAGTCAATATGAGCCTAGTGCTGCCAGGCTATGTCTGATTATAATTTGCTTGTTTGTTTTTTGAGACAGAGTTTCTCTGTGTAGTTTTGGTGCCTGTCCTGGATCTTACTCTGTAGACCAGGCTGGCCTCGAACTCACAGAGATTCGCCTGCCTCTGCCTCCGGAGTGCTGGGATTAAAGGGGTGTGCCACCACCACTTGGCTCATCATAATTTTGAGTCAGGAATAAATTAAAACTGTCGATAACACCTTAGGATGCTTGAATAAAATGTGTGCTTATATTTCTAGTAGCTAAATCAATGATTTGTTTCGTAACTTTACACCAACAGGTTGGTAGATACAGTTTTTCTCACTACAATTAATGTAATCATATAGAAAATACTTTCAGGGAAAAAAATCAACCCAAATATAGTTGTGATAGAAAGTCAGATGACTGCTCTAAAGTCAATGAGTTGCAACAAAAGTAGCATCTCCAAAGACTAGCGCTGTGAACTTTGCCTGTGATTAAATTGCTTATAATTATGGCATTATAACTTGGAAATGTTATGAAAGCAGAAAACTTTACCAAAAGAATGACAGAGATTTGCAAAAAAAAATCCAACATGGAAAACGAACTTCAGAAAAAGAAAAAACACCCTATTAAATGTCCATACAATATTTCCACCATTTGTTAAAAGCACTAATAAATAATTGACCTCTTTTGTACTTGAGTAATAGGTCTTTATTATATTGCTCGTTTTACTCAAGGAAATTGTTCTATTAACATAGTCAATTCTAAAAGTATTTTGTATTGCTGTTTTAGAACAGCCTGAGTTGCTCTTTAAATAATGCATGTTTCTCCCTGCTGCTTGGTATACACTATGAGCTTTCCTGTTAAGGAGTAGGAAGAGACAGCGGTGTTTCAAACTGCCCATTCATAAAATTCTCAGTGGAAAGACAGGTACCAACAAATAATGCCATAAGGCAAGAAAACAAAAATATTGAAGATGAAAGCTGCTTAAACTATGATTTTTCTCTTTTTTATTTTAGATTTATTTATTTTGTATGTTTGAATATTTTGCCTGAATGTATATATGTGTACTGTGTGCCGATGAAGGTCAGAAGGTAAGGGTGTCAGATTACCTGGACCTTTAGTTATGGATGGTTGCAAGCCACCATTTGGTTGCTGGGAACTGAGCCAGGGTCCTCTGAAAGAGTCATGTGTGCTCTTAACCACTGATCCATCTTTCCAGTCCCTAAACTATGATTTTTCAAAGCCAAGACTCTCATTATGTTCTGGGTAGAGTCCACACATTTACCAACTAAACAATTTAAAGAGATCTCTGAAGACTTTGAGAGAGAAAGAAATTGATAACTCCATTTACCCATTTTATTATTTTCTCCTATAAATTTGACTGAGTTCTTTGGTACCTTGTAGGGTTTGCCTGTTATTGTGGGCTAGCAGAAGGCAAAGTAGAAATAAGAATTGATTGTAAATTAGAGAAAGGGGTAGTCATGCCTCTCAGAAAGACTTCTTATGGATGTAAGGAAGTCTGCCGTACAGGTTTAATTAAGTCAGAATTTCATACAGTCAAAGCATTACAAGTTCTGAGAATGGAGTTGTATTTATCCATATTTCAAATTGTTCTGTTGTCATGTGCTTTAGATATGTCTTACATAGATTATATAGCAAAACACCAACTTTAAGTGTATCCTGCTGTGTGTAGAGAGATACACTTAATTGACTAAGGCATACACATTTTAATACAGCAGTTCTTTTCCACTGATGTCATCCTGTACACCTTACAAGCCCCAGGGACATATCTGCTGTGACTTCACTTTGGAGGCAGAATCACATGTGTTCCTTGACCACTGAGATGCCTGGTCATTTTCTTCTAGGAGCCACCATCAGTGTGATCATTGATGTGGATGTGAATGCATCTGTCATAGTCTCTGCACTCATTGCCATTCTTTACACCCTAGTGGGTGGGCTCTACTCTGTGGCGTATACTGATGTTGTACAACTCTTCTGCATTTTTATAGGACTGGTAAGTGACATCACCCTCATATTTTATCTCCTTCCTCCCTCCCTCCTTCCCCCTCTCTCTCGCTCCCTCCCTCCCTCCCTTCTCTCCTCCCTTTCTTCCTCCCTTCTTCCTTTCCTCCCTCCCTCCTTCTCTCCCTCCCCGTGTGCCTTATTTTCTGCTAAAAAATAATATTTATTATAACTCAGAAAAAATCAGTGGATATATGATTTTCCATCATGAAAAATACACAGTAGATTTAATACTATTTGAAATACTAATTTTTTCTCTATGAACTGGCTAAATCAAAAGCCCTGGTTATTTTTGTTAGTGTTTGACAGAAAGGTATGTAACTCTAACTGCTACAAATATCTGCGTCCTGCTTTCCACCCCTATTAGTTTGGATCAAATTTGCTAGAGACCCTCTTTGGTATTCAATGGCACCACTTTCTTTTCATGAGCAAAATTAATCCAGTGGTAATGTGGACAAAACACTTCACCCCATCTTCTGTTAGTTACTACAGGGTGACTAGCAGGACATGGAAGCTATGGCAGGGATCTAAAAATGAGGGGCTTACTTACATAAGGGATTAGCAAGATTTACTCTTTCTGTTATTCCTAGATAAATCAGATCACACTCCTCTTAATAAGTAAAGAATACAATCACCATGAAGCATGAGTAATATCAGGACGACAGTGAAAGCACTCTGGGCATGTTAAATACATTCTAGTCTACTTTTGACACTTTGCATCCTCAAACCTTAAAATGCAAAATAACAGTTACATTTATGATAGTATACAAAACCTAATTCATATAGAAGAAGAATAAATACAAATGTGTGTTCTTTCTATGGCATGGGCTGATATGGGTCCATGTGCACAGTCTCATTAAATACAAGTATCATGTCAAGCTGTCCTTATGCAGAGCCACAGAGAAAGCATGTGTACTCACTTTCCCAATCAGGATCAAAATATCCCGATTTTCTTCTCTGTTATTTATTTTTCTTACAGTAAAAATCTCTACTATTTTAGTTTTTACCCTCCATGTTTGGAGATGAAAAAAATGACTCTCATAACTTCTTATTGCAACTTTGTATCATCAAAAACAATGTCCCAGAGGAATCCATTGACTGCAATCTGACTTACACAGTAAATATTAATTCCCATCTAGTCACAAAACCTGCATTTCTCATTCATCTCCTAGACATTGTTTGTGTTTGTGAAAGTGCCATTCACACATTGTAAAATTAAATTTGAGAAAATTTAATTTGCTCAGGAATTCCCACTCCTTATTTTTAAATTGCCCAAATTAAGTGGATGTGCAGAATTCTGGTTTTTACTCAGCATCATTATAAATATCCATAAACAAAGCAGAGAACACAAAACCGGTTCTCCGGGAGTGTCAGAGGCGAGGTCAGTGCGGTGATGGCAGCTCTCATAATTGATGCATTTGTTATCTCAAGAAGCCTAACCCCAGGGGATGAATCTATCTACCAATGATATATATCCTGCCTCATTGCTTTGCATGAGACCAGAATGAAAGCCTCATACAGACTCATGAGTCAAGTGTGTTGGTGTAGGTGTGGAAGGGCAAACCTATGTAGGGATATATGTTGGATTTTTTTGGGCAATAAGGCATAACTAAGTGGATAAGTTATGGGGGTTAACTATTTTTATTTCTTGGTTAAATAAGATCATGTCTTTTTATTTCTTGGTTAAATAAGATTGTGTGTGTGTGTGTGTGTGTGTGTGTGTGTGTGTGTGTGTGTGTGGTGTGTGTGTTATTCAGTAAAGAATACTACATACTTATGGGTTTCTTAATTAAAGCACTATAGAATTATCTGCCTAAATATAGTTTATTTTTCCAGCTTTAATTCCTATACAAGCATATATAATCAGTCTATACTTTAATCATACCTTCCCATACTGCATTATTCTGTGGGTTTTGTAATCATCCTTGGAGATCTGAAACCGAACACTTGGTTTGCTTAGTTTTCCCTTTCTAGCTTCTGTTCCCTGTTCTAACTCAGAGGTGTTGACTCTACCTCCCTGTTCTTACTAACATCTTTCAGTTGCCAATGTCTCTGCTGGCCTTCAGACCTTTGTCAGGAGGTAGAAGAGACCACTTGTGGCACTCCTATTTGTTTATGTATTGAAACGCATTGTTAATATCTGTGACATTAGATCTAAATACTTGTCAAGCTTTAGAGAATGTCCTCGAGCTTCCAGTTACCTTGAGTCTATCTTTGTCTCTAATTTCCAGAAGCCACCCCTCTGCAAGCAAACCTTGTTGCCCAACAAATCTGAACACAAACACACACACACACACACACACACACACACTTACACACACCATATGTAAATGAGACTTTCATTGAGATATTTCCATTTAGGATATTTGACTTTACAAGGTCCAAAAGCCAAGCACAATTAAAAAAAAAAAACTCTATTTGAAGTTTGAAATTACCTCTTTTCCTGCACTTGAAAAACTCAGCTCAACCCTCTCTGATTCTCATCAGTGAGAGACAACTGTTGTTCCAAGTCCACCACACAATCACACAGGGAAACAACCAACATATTTCAGTGTTCTTTGTTGCTGAGCAGTAGTGTTTGGTAGGTCCTGTGGGTTAAAAGCATTTTTGGCTTACAGTGCTTTCATCCACATAGCCTGTCGTAAGTTGAATAGTGTCTGGCTGCTTCTTCTTGTCTCATTTTCCCCAATTCCTTCAGCTCTGTCCCTCTCTACCAATGTGTGGCACATCTTTCCATCACCTCTTTCCCTATCATATTAATGGATGTATATCCTTGACCAACTCACAGAAAACTAAAGTGTGTGTGTGTGTGTGTGATGGAATGCTTTTTTCCTTAAAGATTTAGTTGACTGCTTCTATGATTTATATGATCCAATATCATCAAACACATGAGTAGTCAATTTTTTTTTATCTAAACCCCCGTTTCATAGCATTTTATAGAGAACATAATTTTAGGTCCTTCTCTGTCTGAGAAAGAGAAACTATCAAGCTGCACCAGCTCTGAGAAAGATGAACTAGAAACATGACTCATGCATATCCAGAACAGTTAAGCTCATAGCCAATGCTCCAATATCACTCTTTGTTCCAGTGGATCAGTGTGCCCTTTGCCCTGTCACATCCTGCAGTCACCGACATTGGATTCACTGCTGTGCACACCAAATACCAGAGTCCCTGGCTGGGAACCATTGAACCAATTGAAGTCTACACCTGGCTTGATAATTTTCTGTTGTTGGTAAGTGACACTGTGATCTGAAAAAAAAATGTGGTCTAATTGTTCATAAAATCAAAGGCATGTTCAGGATTTTTCACATGTATACTTAAAGCTTCACCTGCTGATTCATGGCCGTATCTGAATTGACTCCTGTCTCACAAGGCTGGAGCCTCATGTCTAGGCACTCAGTGCATGAGGTAAGTTTGGAACAACTAGGGAGTTGTTCCAAAAGAGGAGTCCTCAAGAGGTAGAGGTGGCTTAAAACACACAGAATCCTGGTGACAGCCCTATCAGAGAAGGGCATAGGGGAAATCATGGCAGAGTGCAGGCTGAGGAAGGGGGGAGAACCATGCAAACTCTACCAGATTTTATGCCTCTGTTAACTAAGGAGACTATATATAAAAATAATACATGGCATCTGATTTCAAGGCAAGAAATTGGTTATTTCTTGTAACACAGTGAAGGAGAAATTGGTTATTTTTGTTTCTTCGTTAGAGAATGGATAATATTTTATGTATGCATTGTGTGACACTTTGCTGAGTATTAGCAGTTTCTCAACCCTCAGAGTGGGTGCATTTTTCCCAGTAAGAATTTCCCAATAAAAGGCAGGAAAACTTGGGGAAAAGTATGTTTCCAATAGTGGCTTCCCTCCTAAAAATTGTGAAGATAACCCCTTGGCTTTCTTTTTCCTGGTGTGCTTTATATTTATAAATGCAAAGAGTGAGATGTAAAGTGACACTGCCCACCAGTGTGTTTATAGTTACATGGAGATGATGAAAGGCAGAAGCAGGCAACTTGTTGACTATCAACCTTGTGCTGAGCTGGGAATTAAAGCAGAGCAATAGAATCTCCTGGTCCTTTCTCCCGTAACACATTGAAGTTCTCATAAGACTCATCCATAAAACAAAACATTATATCCAGTTCTTAGACTCATGATCCCAATTATTTGACAAGTAGAAATTAAATAGCATACATTGAGTGGAAGGAGAAAGTATAGAAATAAGCTTTGGGTTGTCATCCTGATGATCTTTGATCTGCTTATTTTTCCACACATCTCTATTTTAACATGCTTCCTAAGTCCTGCCAATGGCATTGGAGGCCTTTCTCAGCCCCAGCATCCCTAATTGGCTCTACATTGAACCTAAAGCCTCACTACCTTGGTTTTTCATTGTCATTCTTCTACACACATTCTCAAAATTACCCCCTGTCTCCATCAATAGGGCTACCACAACCAAGTACCACTTACAGAAATTTATTTTTCCACACACTAGCAGTAGAGTCTGAGGTCAGGGAGCCAACATAGGTGGGTTCTGCCAAGGGTTCACCTCAGGTTCTAGGATGCTAACATCTGACTGTGCCCTCCCATGGTGTAAAAAATAAGTGCATAATTTAAAGGTCACCAATCCCTTTTGGAATAACTCCACTCTTATCATCTGATTATGTCCCCCAAAGCTCAATTCAGCTCCAAATACCATCAGATTGGGGTCAGGTTCTCAGCATGTAAACCTGTCTCTTTGAAAACATAGCCAGATTTTACTTTACTTAAAAACTAGGAATGTTCAGGATGGTTGTACCTAAAAGTGCATAAATTCATATCATTCATGGGCGTGGAAGATATTAATGACATACCAATGTATGGGTTTAAAGAAAGAAAAATGTTTTTGAAAGATGATATATTTGAGGAATGGAATTATGGATTTTATCATTTATTTTTAACTATTTGTTTTTACTTTTGAATATGTGTGACCTGTACAGGAAGGGAAAGTACTCTGGATTCAGTATATCAGGTACTGTGCTTGGCAAGATGAAGTAAATATAAATAAGACAGCCACCCCAGAGTTAAATCCCTGAAGGAAAGACACAGGGCGACATAGCAAGCGCCTTCGTCTATTCCCTCATTTGTGTGCTACTTACTGAATACCAGCTTTCCATTCATCTGACAGCAGGAAAAGGGTCAGTACTTCAGGGGACAGTCAATAATCTTCCAAGCTTCTCTCATGACCACTACTCATACACTGAACTCTACTAATATCATGTATGCAGTGGTCCCACAGCTGCCGGGGTATCATGATGATGTATGCAGTGGTCCCACGGCTGCCTGGGTATTATAGTGATATATGTGGTGGTCCCACAGCTGCCTGGGTATCATGATGATGTATGCAGTGGTCCCACAGCTGCCTGGGTATCATGATGATGTGTGCATTGGTCTCACAGTACCTGAGTATCATGGTGTTTTTACTTTTTTTCATATTAACATCTCTTCAAGGGACTCTCATCTTTCTAAAGGTCCAACTCAGATGTCATTTCTGCAGGCTTTCCTGATTGATATGTAGGCATCCACTTATCTCCTTCTCTCTCAACCCCCAAATAATTGTTTCTCAGTTTTGTTTCCATGCAGATGTCTTGTAGCCAATTATACTGCAGTTCAATGCTACCGATCTTTTTGATTTTGTGTCTTCAGTGAAAATTTTCAACATACTTTTGGTGTATCTATGAACATTTGCCAATTGTTTACATACTCTGTGCTAACATATATGTCATTTAATTGAAAAACCACATCACAGTAAGATATTCGGAAAAAACGATAATAGACAAAAGTTCTGATACTCCCTTTAATGTGTCATTGAGCTTTGTGCCCACTCAATGTGTGCCACAGTGCATTGATTCTCCCAGAGAAGTGTGAAAACAGTGTCTTTCCACTCCTCTCTCATGTCCACAACATGCTTAATGTCTGTAGACATTATTGGGTTACATGATTAGGATTTCATCACAGATCTTCAGAATTTCAATTCATTTAAAAAATTGTTATGGTGGTTGGAATTTCTATCACAATATAAACTGAAGACTTCTGGATAATTTTAAGGCACTAAGAGCAGATAAATTAAGGGGAAAAAAACACTGTCTAGCATAGTCACAACGGGAAACAATGCAAGGAATCCAGTGTTTAAAAAAAATTCACCATTGGCACGCCTTGACATTCTTTGGCTGTTTTAACAAGCTACCATTACATGAATGGCTTAGAACCAACCAAAGTCCAGAATTGAGGTGATGGCAGGCTGTGTTTGGTGTGGGCTGGCCCTTCATAGAGAACACATTTTTGCTGTGTCCTTACATGGTAGAAAAGACAATTAACCTCCCTTCACTTTTTTATTGCTCTTTTGTTTTATTAACAAGGATACTAACTAGATTCATGTTGACTCCATTTTCATGATACAATGGATTCACCCAGAGGCAATAATGACACGGATTCCTTCAACCAGAAGATCAGAATTTAACCTGAGAAATGTGGAAGTGGCCAAAACTTCACAACTCAGCAAGCACAGTGGCAGCAGTTGGGATTTGTCATCTGTGGAGTGTGTTCCATACTTCACAACTCTATTAAAACTACTCTAAATGCAGTTGGTTGATGCTGTATTACAAAGTTTCTAAAAAAGAACTCTTTCCTTTGCCTCCTCCTTCATTTGACTTACTCTGAATCCCTGGGTTCTCATGCAGATGCTGGGTGGAATCCCTTGGCAAGCCTACTTCCAGAGGGTTCTCTCTTCATCCTCAGCCACCTACGCTCAGGTGCTGTCCTTCCTCGCAGCGTTTGGGTGCCTGGTGATGGCTCTACCTGCCATATGCATAGGAGCCATTGGAGCCTCCACAGGTAAGCCTCCTGCACCTTGTCACATTTTCAAGGTCCCAAATCCCGAAAGGCAGTTCTTTCTATCTCACATCCCATTTTCCCCCACACAGTAAATTAATTCTTTCTGCATGGCCCTACTATGCCTTTGTTACATCATTTACCAAATGGAATTCTAGTTCCATGATCTCTACTTGGTTTTTGTTGCTCACTCAGTGATGAAACATTTGGAAACACTCAACTTTGGTGTATCAGTAACTCCTTTCTGTCAAACCGGAGATCAACTGTGATCCACACAGTATATAACCTGAGGATGGAGAGGGGCTTAAAAATACCACTCCATTTTTGACTATTGCATGGTGCGTCTAACTACAAATGGTAAAAATGGACACTGAAAACTTTCTACAGAACCCTGGTGAAACAAAGAAAAGCAGAAATTGCAAGCCACTGGCTTAGGAGACAATCCTGGTCACATTGTTTCCATGGACCATTGTGAACTTGAGATTTTAGCCTTCTATTTTCAATAGTTGCCTCACCAAGAGGAAAATTTATTTTCCCTGCAGAAACTAAGCAGTAAATATATTGGTAAAGATAAACTAAATACTAAGACAACAGAAAAAGCAATATAAAATGTTTATTTCCCTGTTGGCTTCTATGAAACATTTCTGAAATCTTGTCTTTATTTTTCTTGAACTTAATCATTCCTGTCTCTCATGTTTCTCCCATGGTAGAAAAGGGAAGCAAGATTCCCTGTAAAGGCACTGGTCATGGTCAGGAAAGTTCTACCTTTGCATCTTAATCACCTCCCTACCTACTATCAATAACATCACCTTGAGGATTGGGGTTTCAAAGACCCAGGGGAGGGATAAACATAAGATCATAAAAGCATAATGACAGAGACTGAGATGTGTGATCAATAGAGCATTTTATGAACTACAGAACTATGTTACGGCTGTTTTAAGTGTGATTAGGAGGCAGTTTTCAGCATTGGAAATGAAAATATGTAATATTAACCCATATGGAGAAGCATTCTGCAAGTAGAGGTAACTAAAACTGATTTGAAAGAGTTCATCATCCACCCTATTGTCTCTTATAAAAATAACATTTATTGAATTATTTTGGTTTATTTTGATTTTAATTTTTAAAACGGAAGTCATGATTTGTAGCATAATCTTCCCCCTCCATGTTCATACATGACATAAAACAATAACTAAATGATAAAAACATCAGCAAAGGTCCTCATCAGTGTCTGTTTCTGTAAAAAGAAACTATGGTTTGCTTCTGCCACCCACTCTGTGTATGCATGCAGGTGTAAGCAGAATAACAAAAGCAGCATACAGCCTACTGTTTTCTTGGATTTAGTGTACATTCTTGGTAATGCTCTTTAATAACTCCCTCAGTTGTAGCATTAGCCCTATTAGAATATGGCCATGGCTTTAATGATGACTGTAATGGGAAGTGGGGGAATGGCAGCATCCAAGGAACCCACTACTGCTTGGTCCTGGCATTACAACATCAAGGAAGATCACCAAGTATCAAAGAAGCTAACTAATGTACATATCCATGTCCCTTGTCTTTGTCAACACAGCCTGCCACCAAACCAGACAACACAGGGACAATGAGATGGCCCAAGGGTAAAGGCACTTGACATTGAACTTGATAAACCAAGTTCCATCCTTGGAACCAATGGTAGAAGGAGCGAACTGACTTCTACAGATTGTCTTTTGACCTCCATACTAGTATGCTATAGCTGACTTGAGTGCTGTACATGCATGGGCACACATGTACACACACACACACACACACACACACACACACACACACACACACACAAATAACAAAATGGAAGCAGTGTATTCAAATATAAACTGACATTTTTAAGTCATTTATTAGACCAAATTTAAAGACCTCCAAGAAACCTGAGCCTCATGAATGAAAAGAAGCTGCCCCCTTTCTCCTAAAGAAAACCCTCTGTAAGATAGAATTGCTTGGGAGAAAATTAACTCAAAGGCAACTCCAAGGCTGTTGCATTTTCTTCAGAGGCTGTTACAGTATCTTCAGGAAAAGAGTGAGCGGGGTGGGGGGTGGGGGGGAATCTGCTGTGATCTCTGTGTGTGCACAGGTCCGTGGGCCTCACAGAATGAACTGTAGGCATTCATTCAGTTCTAAGTGGTCTAAAGGAAATGTTTGGTTTAGGAAAGTTTGTTTTCTGTGATTCTAAGTATGCCCCACAGCACACAAAGAATATCTGTGTGCCAGGACCCAGCAGGTGTGACTAAGCCTGAATGCTATCACACACACAGGAGCCAGGCAGGTCAGACTCTTACATGACCAGCATATGGACTTCCCACCTCAGTAGATGACACAGAGACTCTCAGTTGTGACGGTTGTTTCTGCTCCACAGACTGGAACCAGACTGCATATGGGTTTCCAGATCCCAAGACCAAGGAGGAAGGAGACATGATTCTCCCGATTGTGCTGCAGTACCTCTGCCCTGTGTACATTTCCTTCTTTGGTCTTGGGGCTGTTTCTGCCGCTGTGATGTCCTCAGCTGACTCTTCCATCCTGTCTGCAAGCTCCATGTTTGCACGGAATATCTACCAGCTTTCCTTCAGACAAAATGTAAGACCAGCCTTCTAATCTGTCATTATTATTTTTTTGTCATTACCACTGCATTTGCTGTTAATATATGTGTAATGTATATAATATAATATAATATAATATAATATAATATAATATAATATAATATAATATAATATAATATAATATAATATAATATAATATATATAAACATATATAATATATATATATTTATATAAAACCATTGTAGGTTGAATTTCTATCAGCTGAAATGGCAAATTTGGAAAGCTCCAAAATCCCAAACATTTTGAAAATCAGCTAGATGTCACAAGTGGGAGGTCCCATAATATGAAACCTTGTCTCATTTACAAAATTACTAAACACAGTGTTACAAAATTACCTCATTCCATACCTACAAGGTATATATGAAATGTAAATTGTTTTCTGTTTTAAACTTGACTTTCCTTCCTAATGCATCTCATTATGAGCATGCAAATATTACAAAATATAAAAATAAACCCCTCTGGATATAAACACTTATGCTCTCAGGCATTTTGGATAAAGGATACTCAATCTGTGTATACACATTGAGTCTATATTGCAATCCAGCCCTTATATTTGATTGAACACACATATTTAAATGTAGTGAATTTATTTATCCTGCAAATGAATCATAGCAATGCATGCTATTTTTTATTTTCACACTAAAGGGAACATATTCGTGTAACTATTTCATAAGAGCTTGGCATTTTACTTTATCTTAAACTTCTTGTCTTTCTGGTGAAAGAAAATACAGCTTCAAAAATTTTAGAAAATCATTTAATCTGATTATTATATTATTATGAATCATTTAATCTATTATAATCTAAATATGCTAGGGTCCTAGAGAGTTCTGATAGCCATAAGTCATGGTGAGCTGCTTCACACTATTTTTGTAACAACTGCTGTGGTCTTTGAATTCTGAAGGATACCTCTAACATACAGTAGCCTTTCAATTTGATTTTCTCTATGGAGCCAAATGGTTCTAGGACAGTTTGCTACTGTGGTCCTTGGGGGACAATGAATCCCTCTCATGAGTGTTTCTCTATCATATAAAGCTTGGCTTCTCACCGGGTTTTTTAGGTCATAGTCAGCAAAATAAGTCCACTGAAGCCAATGAGATGGCTCAGTAGGGAAAATATGATTGCCACCAAGCTTGGTGACCCAAGTTCTATCCCTGGAACCCACATAGTCAGAACTGACTCTTGTAAATTATCTTCTGACCTTCTCACAGACACCATAGCATGTGCCTTTACACACACGTGTTTACATACAAATGCAATTTAGAAAAAAAAATGGCCCATTGATGTTTTACCAAGGGTATTCCCTAGAAATACCTGGTTTAAGGCACCAAAAAAAGTAGTTATCTTTAAAAATGGCAGGACTCCTACAAAAGACAAGCCTTAAAGATGTTCATACTCCCAGTGCCTCATGTGGATAAGTGAGATCTTACTTTGCCATAGTTTATGTGTGACATCTGACCTTAGGTCATCTCAGTTTGTGCCCGTCCATTCAGAGAAAGGCTCCATAGTCTCCCTTCATTCATATGGTACAAGAAGCCCTCATACCCAAGTGTCATAGATTACACCAGCTTTGAACATGGGGGACTGCATAAGATCAGTTTTTAAAGCGTAGACATTTATCCTGTTCATCACTTAAAGAGCTAGCACATTGTTTGCAAAGCTGACCCTGCACTGATTCCTCACAGGCATCAGACAAAGAAATTGTGTGGGTCATGAGGATCACGGTGTTTGTGTTTGGAGCGTCTGCAACAGCCATGGCCTTGCTGACGAAGACGGTGTATGGGCTCTGGTACCTGAGCTCTGACCTCGTCTACATCATCATCTTCCCACAGCTGCTCTGTGTCCTCTTCATCAAAGGAACCAACACTTACGGGGCTGTTGCAGGTTACATTTTTGGACTTTTCCTGAGAATTACTGGAGGAGAGCCATATCTGTACTTGCAGCCCCTAATCTTCTACCCTGGTTATTACTCTGACAAGAATGGTATATACAATCAGAGATTCCCCTTTAAAACCCTCTCCATGGTTACCTCATTCTTGACCAACATTTGCATTTCTTATCTAGCCAAATATCTATTTGAAAGTGGAACCTTGCCTCCGAAACTAGATGTATTCGATGCCGTCGTCTCGAGGCACAGTGAAGAGAACATGGACAAGACTATTCTAGTCAGAAATGAGAACATCAAATTAAATGAACTTGCACCTGTGAAGCCTCGACAGAGCCTAACTCTCAGCTCAACTTTCACCAATAAAGAGGCCCTCCTTGATGTTGATTCTAGTCCAGAGGGATCTGGAACTGAAGATAACTTACAATGACCCCATCTAAACCATACAGAACAGAACGTTGCTGTAGGATAGTCCTGGAAAGAAGGTTTGGAGCATATCTAACACATATTAAAATATAAATCTTTAGAGGGGAAATATTTGCAGGAATAAAGAAGTTATAATGGACGAGTTCAGAAAAAATAACAATTGCACAGTGAGAAGGAAGTGTGAAAGTAACAGCTTTGTTTCTCATCACAGCACTTTTAGTTTTAAATAGCTTTGTCAAGCATATAAAAGTGAGTAAAGCCCCAGCCAAAGAAAATGGCCAAATATTACTTATCTTTATTATGGAAAGAGGAAGTATCTATTAATGAGCCCATGGAAAGGAGACTGAATGGTTCTGATCATCTTTGCTGGCTAAGACAGCTCTGGACATCAGTTTAATTGCTACAATGCATAGGCTGCATTGATTTGCAACCACTGCTGTAAACGATGCAGTGAGTTAATCAATTTACTCCTCTCCATGTGTGGATTGGCCTGCTCTTCCATGATTTGAATGTGACATTTGCTCGATTTTCAGTGTGCACTCTCTTACTTACCCTTTCTTGCTCTTCTGCATGAACACACACACTCTCTCTCTCTCTCTCCATCCATCCTTCCATCCAACCATCCCTCCTTCTCTCTGTCCCCTTCTCCATGTTTCTCTCTCCTTCTCTCCCCTCACTCTTCCCAAACTCTCCCTCTCTTTCTCTCTTCTGATTTTATTTTTGTGTGGTGCTGGTGATCTAACACAACAGGACCTTGCACATGCTAGGTAAGGGCTCGCCTACTGAGCTACACATCCAGCTCCACAATTTGTTGTATTTTTTTCCAGTGAGGCCATATATTATTCTAAGCACAAGCAACACAAACAATAATTTATTTAATAGAGACATTTTTATGTATAAATGATGGAAAATAGAGTCCATGTTGTGATGGGGGAAAAAAGCACTGAACTCTTTGACGACGTCCACAATTGCCATATGCTCAAAGAAAAATGCCCGAAGCAAAGCATGGAAGGTTATTGGGCAGCATTACAGCAATAAGTCTAGAAGAAAAATAAGAAAAGGGGAAGAGGAAAAAACATATTTCTATATCCAGCTCTAGTATATAAAGTATTGTCATTCCTTACAAATATAGTGTCTTGGCTTATTTTCCAAGTCAGTACTGGAGACAAAGTTGAGCCATATGTAAAGAAAGGCCATTGTCTAACACCTGTTGCAGGTGATGATTACTGCAACAGCTTGCATTCACTGCGTATTTATTACCAGCCGTTCCCAAACAACTCACAGAGAGACTGGACAACAAACCCCACTCATTTCTGGACATTCATTAATAGAATAGTTTAGTGTTAAGGATCTACTCCAGCCCTTTTACACATAAGCCACTTTTAGGGGCTGGAAAGATCCCCACAAGTGTATATACTGAATTTCAAAATGTAATAGAAACCAAAAAAGTAAAAACAAATCCTAAAGAGAAGAAGCCATCATTTTAATATCTGGTGTGCACATGACTTTCAAGAGGTCAATGGTTAAATGTAATTTTGTTCCTGTTTGTAGTATTCAGCATTAAGTACAAACCTTGTGCTCCAAGCCCTAGAACTGTCTATAGGTTACCATTGAAACTGTCTCAAATCATGAACAGGCAGACCTCCTTTGTTTAAAACATGTGGCTTAAAATCCCAGTGTGATGTTCAAAATGTGAAGTTTAATGATTTTAGATATTGGAATGTTCTCTTTTTTAGTGTTATCTCAATACTTGAGCCTCTTCAGTGAATCATGTACACGCTTAAGGAATAGCGAATTCCCTCATCCACCAGTCTTGTACTTGCAAGTATGGAGTCTGAGATTCTCAGTGTGGGGTGAGAAAAGAGTCAAGAAAAACACAGACAAAAAAAGAGATAAAACTTAGCATAAAAAGGAATTAAGGACAGGGATGAAATTTCCAGTGAATATGGTATCTCAGACCCACCAGGTCTCCCATCACAGACAAAAGAGTGAATTTTGCCCACCTCATCATCACATGTCCTCCCTCAGATGGCTGAGGTATGTGCTTCCATTATGCATATCAACAATCCTCACTCATACTGTAGAGTCCACAGCGAAGTAGGCTCTTTTCACGGACATTACATTGTAATGCTCATAGTCAACAATTGTCCAAATAACCTTATTTAATTACAGTGAATAAATAATATTACTGGTAATTAGGAGAGAAACATTTGCCTTACCTCAGAATGCTAAAGCTAAATAGAGCATAAACTAATAAACAGTATATTTTTGTTTTGTTTTTGAAGCACTAGTACACACTATCAAAACAGTTATCAAAAATCACATGCCCATTAAATTTGCTAAAGAGAAGTAAGATGATATTTAAAGTATTAAAATACCAAAAGGTGGAATGAAGAATCCCAAGACATTCATCATACACTCTGGCATGAGTTCTCCCTGATTTCCAAGCAAGGGAATAAGCTTCAAGTTGCCGAAGGTCTGCTCTGTTTTTGCATGGAAACATCTGTAAGTTATTCCAGACTCATGAGTTGATCTCATTTTCAAATCCATCCCCAGTGAAATCAAAATAGACCAGGTGTTTCACTCTCACTTGGGAGGTAATAACCTTACATAGCAACGGAACAAGATAGGAGTTTCACTTCCATACTTTACCAACAATTGCACCATATTTATTAGGTAAATTGTATTCCCCGCCACATGTTCAGAACATCAAGCTTGAAGCTGGAGTGATATTTCAACAAGCTGTCAAATGCTCAGTGCCAAATCCAACTTCATTGCTACACTTAAAGTAATGAATTTTATGTGACTATCATATGAATGTAAGCTTGAAATGAGTGGATTTAATATAATGTGTATAGAAATTTTTATTTGTAAATAATGAATTAGCATTATATTTTAAACATTAAATCATCATTTCCTTTTTATCCTTCTACAAAATTTACTCTGATATCATGTATAATTTATTCTAAGTTTGCCATAATATATGTTTGCTACTGCATAGACAAATGCATATAATGGTTCCAAAACCTATATTTTTATCTGTCAAAATATTATACAGAATTATACTCAAAATAAGTAGATTTGCAAGTGTATATGTATGTGTTTAAATGTAATGATATTGTATTAAATTATGCTATTGTAATTCAGCATATCATGTCTATATTTGATGTTTTGGGGGCCTCTCTTTAGATATAAATGGTGCTTGAAGACAATTACACATTGAAAGTGAAATAAACAATGTATAGAAAGATATTTAAATGTCAAGTGGGAAAACTGCAGCTTGTAAAGTCTTGGAGTGACCCATACATCTTACCTCATAACAAGATTCATATTTTCTCAGATTAAACATTATATACAGGCCCTTCCTTTGAATTAAATAAATCAACAAACTGTCCATTCCATAAATATAAAAATACATATCTTAAAAAACAAGGCTGCCTGATCACTGTTGATGCAGGACATACAAACACAATGACAAACCAGTTCTCAGTATGCTCCAAGGACAGTTTCCTGTTTCTTGTCTAACACTTTCAGGGAGTCTTTAAAATCGAAATTGTATGTAGCCTCAGAAGAACTTTGACCTGTTAGGCTTTAAACATAAGTATTACATCTGTAGACACATAAAAGGAGGAGGAAGTTTATGGAAGAATGAAGTGTCTGACAGGGAAATATGGTGAATATCATATTCATCATCATTAGATGATATTCTTCCATATGTCCATAATTGGTATACAATTCTGCTTTATCTCAAACATGCTACAATTGGGAATTATTAGAAATGGAAATCCTGAAAGCATAAAAGCATAGTCAAACTGGTATCACAGGCCTGAAACCCCACCTTTTCAGGAATAAATTAGAAATACAAGGCCTGCCCAGGCTTCAGTGTGAGCCTAAGGCCACCCTGGGCAATTTAGTGAGTTGTTACTAATGCTGTGACCCTTTAACACAGTTCCTCGTGTTGTGGTGACCCTCAACTGTAAAATTATTTTCATTACTACTTCATATCTATATTTTGGCTACTGTTATGAGTCATAATGTGAATATTTATGTTTTCTGATGGTCTTTTTATCATTACAAGTGTTTGCTCAATAGCTCAGGCTTGTTACTTACTAGCTAACGCTTACATTTAAGTTAACCCATATTTCTATCTATGCTTTGCCACATGGTTTGGTACCTTTTCTCAGTACAGTATGCCTATCTTCTCTCTGCATCTGCTGGTAGCCCTTTTTTTCCCCAGAGTTCTCAGTTTGGCTCTCCCACCTAACTTTATCCTGTTCAGATAGTGGCCAGTCAGCTTCTTTATTAAACCAACCACAGTGACATATATTCACACAGTGTAAAGGAGTATTCCACATTTCCCACTTTTTCTCTAATTAAAAAAGAATGTTTTGGCTGGGCGGTGGTGGCGCACCCCTTTAATCCCAGCACTTGGGAGTCAGAGGCAGGCCTGGGCTACCGAGTGAGTTCCAGGAAAGGCGCAAAGCTACACAGAGAAACCCTGTCTCGAAAAACCAATATGTATATATATATAAAATAAAAAATTAAAAAAAAAGAAAGTTTTAACTTTAACATAGTAAAATTATATACAACCAAAACAGTTAATAAGTAAGAATTACAGTGATAATACTAGTCCATTTGTGTTGGGCAAAACTAGAGAAAATATTCTACTATCTATTTTACCTTTGTGAATCTGAAGTTTTATACCTAATTTACCTCTTATTATAACTAAGGAAAACTTTAAATCTAATTATTTAGTCTTTAACTCCAACAAAGACTCCAGAAGGGTGAAATATTATCTAATGACAGGAACATCTGCCTACCTGGACAGTTATCCTAAGTTCTTCTGTAATGTTGGGGCATCCATCTTTGGCCTACAGGCCTAGTATATCTGACAGACTTTTTTTGAGAAGCAGGGAATTTTGAAGGACTGTCCTACCTTCTCTTGGCAAGTTCTGGAAGTTGCTTTCTTTTGAGTCCTGCCGGTCCAGTTTGGACAGTATACTGTCAGCAGTTGAGGCAAGGGCAGTTTTTTGTTCAAATGGCTAGATTTTACTATAAGGAAAGCAAACTCCATATGGAGTTTCTTTGATGCCCATTATCTTCTCTGAAGAAAATTGGTGCTGTCCTGAGCAGACTTGTCTCGCTGTCATGAAAAGCCTTATGTTATTAAACATATTAAGTGCCATATTCTGTAGGTCTTTGAAGTGTTTGAAGACCATCTACCTATCTAAATATATCTGTTTAACCTTGAAAAAATACCTAAAAGCAACCCCTGCAAAAGGGTCATTTGATCCCCAAAGGGGTCGTGACTCACAGATTGAGAACTGCTGATCGACAAGAGGAAGATTTTAAAAAACTGGCTGGGGATATAGTTCACTGGGTAGCATGCTTGCCTAGTCTGTGTGAAATCCCAGGTTTAATCATTATTATTGGGGATGGCAGTGGAAATTCTAAAGAAACCTAGGAAGCTAGAGGAAAATGATACCCCTCCCAAGAGTGTACCATCAGCAAATGAAGTCCCACACAGCTCAGTGAAAATAGCCATGCTGTCTTATGTTATTCGTAGTCTCTCAAATAAGATTCAGATTCTCCAAAATAAATAATAAATCATGATGATTCTGTTTTGATTTTTAGTTGGAAAACTATAGTGACCTATGTTTAAAAGTTACCATGTTGTGTGTCTTGGAGCCAAGCTTGAGTGTTGATTTAACCATTTGTTATCTGAAAGCAATAAAACACATAAACCAAGGAGGATTTGGATTTAAAGACAGAATTTGGAGTAGAGGGTACAGCAAAAGAACTAACTGCAAACAGGCTTTAATAGCACAGGATGCAGCTGAATTAACCCATCGGATAGAAGATCTAGGAATCATGCTTATTGTCACAGGAAGATTTTCAGAATTATCGAAACTATAGAGGTCTGTTTCAGCTATGCAGTGCTTTTGATTTGAACATCTTTGTGCTCTGGAAGGCTCACTCTAATTTGGTTATATCCTGTTCAGTTGGGTACAGCATAACTTGATAGCAGCTAAGGCTGGCACAACAGAGGAAGGCACATGTATTGACAGCTGTATGTCCTTTACCACTTACACACTTGTGTGGGTCTCAGTCTTGTTGATAAGGATGGCATGTACCTCTTATTAGTAAGTATAAGATATATACAAGTTCATATGGTAGGCAGGAAGATATAGAACCATAAACTCTGTTCTCCATGTGACAAAATGTGACCTCTAGCTACTTTATCATCATTGTCATTATGGAATCTACATAATGGATGAAGATGCAAAAGTCCTGTTTTAGTGTGCACTGTCTTACAGATCATAGTTGCTTCACAGACACAGATGAACAGAGTTTTCAGGCTGCCCCATGTGCATGCAAATTGAACTCTATGTATAACAATGACCTTAACTAAGAAGGCTGAGTTTACCTCACTGTGTATGTTGGATTTTTGATAAATATATCTGCCAAGCCAAGAGTTCTTTAGGTGCAAAGGAAGAAATAAAAACTGAAAA